GTGGGAAGACCACTGGCCTGATGGCAGGAGAGTGGGTCCTACTCTTGATCTTGTGGCTAAAACCATTGTGTGGACTTCCCCATCACTTAATCCCTTCAGCCATCATAATATCTCTATTATGGATACTTGAGTAAATCATCTTTAAGGTTGTCTTGTCCTACTTGCTTTGTACTTTGATGATTCCTTTGACAGTTGTAGGTTAAAAGGTGCCTGGTTTTAGCACTTTGGCTTGTATCCTCTTCTCTTTCTCCCACCCCCAGCTCTATCCTTTTATAAGCCAAGAATAAGCACCTACTGTGGACACTTCATATATCCTCATGGGTTCTGTCTTCCTCTGCACACCCTCCTGGAAGAAGGAAGATTAAGTAATTCAGACACACTTACATACATATGTGAGTAGGCCAGGCAACCACTTCATTCTGTGCTCAATTCCTGGTTTCTTGGGGAATGTTGAAAACAAGTGGAATCCCAGATATTCTTGAGGCAGAGGCTTTGACCAGACAGGAGTATGAAGATAGCCATGTCACTTACACTGACCGGTCACTTCAATTTAAGTCACTAGTCAATTTAATCTAAGTTCCAATTGAATGGCTTATTTTACAAATGTCTAAGATAATTAGTCATCTTAGCCTAGGCAGGCCCATTAGTGGTCTGGATTTCAGTAAGTTTAATAGTGGGGAGAATCAGAGCTCAAAGAACTCTCACTCTTACTGTGATAAATGATAGCAGGGCCCCCTAGCGTGTGGTGTATGTAGTGCTTTAGCCTAAAGACTTCCAGGTGAGTGTGCCTTCACCCCTTTGGCTGCTCTACCTCTGACCACACCCAGCGCCACACAGATGGTCTGCACATGGAATATAACCAGCGACAGGCCTGAAGTAAACAGGAGAGCCTATCTTTTTTTTTTTTTAAGATTTTATTGGGGAATTGGAGGGAGGGGAACAGCGTTGGTTAATCAGGAAAGGGGAACAGACAGGTAGACAAATTGCTGTTTTTGTTCTTCAGCCTAGTTTTGGAGGACTTCGCGTCACTGGCCCGTGTTGGTATGATCATTGTGCTCTTCCTGGGTGAGGCAGATCGGTCGCCGGTCATTGGTCGGCCACTCACAGTGGCTCCCGGCAGCTCACACCAGCTGCCGGCAGCTCACACCAGCTGCCGGCCGCTCACGCTGGCTGCCAGCCACTCACGTAGCTCATTGCAGCCCACTGCAGCTCTGCTGCAGCCTACACCTTCACTGGTGACTCACAGCAGCCCAGCTCCAGGTCCAGCTGTTGTTCGTCATCTTAGCTGTAGAGGGCCAGCATCACTGGCCCTCAATGTGGGATCCGAACCGCAGCCCTGCTGTTCAGAGCTGGCGCTCCCAAGCGAGCTCTTAACCAGGAGAGCCACTCGGCCAGCCCAGGAGAGCCTTTCTTAAGTACCACCTCCTACCCATTCAAAAACAAGAACAGCAAGCATGTTAATCTTGGTAAAGGATGTTTAGACAGACCTTTATATTAGGACACAGAGATTCAGAGTCACAGAGTGAGTCTGGCGAAGTGCAGGTCACCTGATTCAAATGTTAGATGTAGGTGTTATTTATGTTAAGATATTTTAACATATGAAGCCAGGAATTTTTCTTTTTCCACCTAAAAATATACACCTGTGCGTATGTACACTCACATAAAGATTTATTATAAATACATTTTCCCTTCAGTAGACTTACTCTTTTATGCTCTTAAATAGTTTTAACTGTCAGTTGTTTTACTAAGTTAATCCTTTTATAATAAACTGACTGGTTATTTCAGTTGAAATAGCCCCTTGTTGCCACCATGAGATCCTAATGGTGAATGGGGTGTGGGAAAGTCTTCTATTCAGCTGTCCTGGAATCACCCACAAATGGTATTGGGCACAAAACATTCCTCATCCTGAAAGTGTGCACATCGTGCATAGTCTGTTTCCATAAACAGCACAGCCATACATTTCTATAGTCTAAGCTCACAGTTGTGTATAGTTTTATTCACATATTAGCTTTCTTAAAAGCAAAAGTTATAGAATTGCATTATGTTCTTTGTTTTTGTGGGATGTTATTATATCTGTTCTTCATTATTGAATTGCCTGATTTGGGGGAGTATATCTCTATTGTTAATTTTGAAGAAATTAGAAAATATGTGAGAAAGCATCTAATGACTTGCTTTAGTAGAAGCTCATGTCCTAATAACGAGTCAGGATTCAATGGATTGTAATTGTTGTTGCATGAAATTACTTTTCTCTTAATCTTGTTTACAGCTGTATTATTTCTTGAATTTTCTTCTTTCAGAGAAGAGTTCCAGTCACAAATGCATATGTGATGCATTTTGACATTTACTGCTAAGATGAAATGCAGAAATGAAAGCCACACATCCATTTTAGTATTCTCAGATGTGATTAAATGTACTTTATCATGTTTTTGTGCTACTGACCTGTAAGGAAAACAAACACTAAAAAGGGATAACAGTACAGCTAGGACCTGCAGGATCGATACTTCTGGGATGAACTGGAACATCACAAGGAGAGATTTTTTTATTCCAGCGTATTCACAGCTCTTCTGAGGCCTCACCCTAGATTCGTACACATTTCTTTCATCAACAGTCATCACAGGACACTTTATTTCTCAGGATGGCAGACGGTCTCCCTACAGAGTTTGATGTGGTTATTATAGGGACAGGTTTACCTGAATCCATCCTTGCAGCTGCATGTTCAAGAAGTGGTCAGAGGGTTCTGCATATTGATTCAAGAAGTTACTATGGAGGAAACTGGGCTAGCTTCACCTTTTCAGGATTGCTCTCCTGGTTGAAGGAGTATCAGCAAAACAGTGACATTGGAGACAAAAGTACTGCTACATGGCAAGATCTGATCCATGAGACAGAAGAAGCCATCACTCTTCATAGGAAGGATGAAACCATTCAACACACAGAAGTGTTTTGTTATGTCCGTCAGGACATGGATGACAATATTGAAGAGATTGATGATCTGCAGAAAAATCCTTCCTTGGTGACATCTGGTACCCTTTCTAAACTTCTGGATTCTGCATGCTTGTCTGAAGAAATGCACTCATTATATGGTACGAGCCACGGAATATCTGCCAAAGAAATTCCAAAAAATGATGGAGAGATTTTACTAGAAGTAACTGGTATAGAGGAATCTCAGGTGAAAGAAAAATATTATGGAGATAAAACTTGTATACACACCTTTGCAGATGGAGATAAAGATGAAAACAAACCTATAGTGGAAGACAACACTGATCTACCAAAGAGAAATAGGATTACTTACTCTCAATTAGTTAAAGAAGGTCGAAAGTTTAATATTGACTTGGTATCAAAGCTGCTATATTCTCAAGGATTGCTGATTGATCTTTTAATCAAATCAAATGTTAGTCGTTATGCTGAATTTAAAAATGTCACTAGGATTCTTACATTTCGAGAAGGAAAAGTAGAACAGGTGCCTTGTTCCAGAGCAGATGTATTTAATAACAAAGAACTCACTATGGTTGAAAAGAGAATGCTAATGAAGTTTCTTACATTTTGTTTAGACTATGAACAACATCCTGATGAATACCAAGATTTTACACAGTGCTCATTTTCAGAGTACTTAAAAACTAAAAAATTAACCCCCAACCTTCAACATTTTGTACTACACTCCATTGCAATGACAGAGTCATCCTGTACTACAATAGATGGCCTTAAAGCAACAAAAAACTTTCTTCAGTGTCTTGGACGGTTTGGCAATACTCCGTTTTTATTTCCTTTGTATGGCCAAGGGGAAATTCCCCAGTGTTTCTGCAGGATGTGTGCAGTTTTTGGTGGAATCTATTGTCTTCGCCATAAAGTACAATGCCTTGTAGTTGACAAAGAATCTGGAAGATGTAAAGCAATCATAGATCACTTTGGTCAAAGAATAAATGCTAAGTATTTTATTGTGGAGGATAGCTACCTTTCTGAGGAAACATGTTCTAATGTGCAGTACAAGCAGATCTCCAGGGCAGTGCTCATTACAGATCAGTCTGTACTAAAGACAGATTCAGATCAGCACATTTCCATTTTGATAGTGCCTCCAGCGGAACCCGGGATGTGTGCTGTTCGGGTCACTGAATTATGTTCTTCAACTATGACATGCATGAAAGACACCCATCTGGTACATCTGACCTGTTCATCTTCTAAAACAGCAAGAGAAGACTTAGAATCAGTGGTAAAGAAATTGTTCACCCCATATGCTGAGACCGAAATAGATAGGGAAGAACTTACAAAGCCAAGACTCTTGTGGGCTCTCTATTTTAATATGAGAGATTCCTCAGGAATCAGCAGAAGCTCATATAGCGGCTTACCTTCCAATGTATATGTCTGCTCTGGGCCTGACTGTGCACTAGGAAATGAGCACGCAGTCAAGCAAGCTGAAACACTTTTCCAGGAGATCTTCCCAGGTGAAGAATTCTGCCCCCCACCTCCAAATCCAGAAGACATTGTCTTTGATGGTGATGACAAGCAACCAGAGGCTCCTGGAACCAATAATATAATCATGGCCAAACTAGAATCCTCTGAATGAAGCAAAAACCTAGAAAGCCCAGGGAAGCACCTTCAACATTAGAAAAAAGCGAACTGGAACTGCTACTTTGGGCCTTCATCCTAGCATCAGAATATTCTCATTGAAAGGACAGTTTCCTACACAAGTAAATTAGAAGTGGTTATATGATGCGTGCTATGCAGATGTTGTCTTTAATTCTGTTTGAGACATTCAGTCATTGAATGTCTTTGTTAATCTATAAGTAACTGATTTATTGGTTATTGGACTTTGTTTGTTTCAGAATGTACTCCATGACCCAGAATCTTAAACAGGGTTAGCTTTATTTTAGTATTGATATGTATGTGAGGATTCCATATTAGCAACTGTGCTTAAAGGAAGGTAATATTGTATCTGCTAATGACCTTCAGATTTTATTGTGACATTGACAATATCTAAGGAATATTTTACTTTGCATCTATTGTAGTTGCTACCACCTCTGAATAAAACACACACAGAGTAAATTATGTGGGTCTTTTGTATATAATATAAACATATACATGGTAACAATAACAATTAATACAAATGCCAATATGATAAAATACATTTGTCTAATTAAAAGGTTAGCTTTGCATGATCTTTTATTTGTGAAGGTCTGACGTTTACAGTAAGTCTTGTGGTTTAATTCTCCTGCTTGACCCTTGTAACCGATGAGTCAATGTTACCACCACAATCTCCTCCTTTAGAAAAAGTGCCAGAGAGCTCAGTTAGTTGTTGAAGAGCTCATTCTTTGGAGCTTCTGTCCAAAGAAAGTCTAGGGGATAACATTAGTTCTGATTTAATACTTCAGAAAATTTCTGCAGAGTCCAACTCTGGCACCTAAAAGAAAAGAATTTCCAATAAGTAACTCAGGCCAAAAGAAAAAAATAAATTGCCCCAGGAAATAGATACTTCAGACGGATGGTTCTGAAATTTCAAGGAGAAACCAAGTGAGTCGTTTTTAACCTGGGATTGATTTCCTGAGATTTTTCAGTGAAAATTAACTTTCCACCTTGTTGGCTCTCCCTCTGTAATTAACAGCACTAATTACAACTGGTAGGAGTGAATCAGAGGAGGATTTACCACGTCCCTTTGGTTGTGTCCCACGCCACAAATAATAAGGTAACCACCTCCATAATTTCTTCTGCTTCTTGGCGGTTATCTAGAAGACAGAAATATTTGTTTTTCACAAAACCACCAGAAGTCATAAAGCTGTTGTTACTCCAGTGTTGGAAGCCTGTGGAGCCATCAGAAGAGGCAAACTTCCTTCCCTTTTAGTCCCCTGTTTCCATTTCTCAGAGAATAGTCATCTTGTAGGAAGAGAGCCCTTCTGTGACAGTTTTTGTTCTGGAACGAAGCATTTACTACATGCTAGGCACTCACTGTGCTTTTTCATTACAGATTCTCAACAACCCTGTGAGGCAGATGTTATTGAACATATTTGCAAAGAGGTAATAAAGACAATTAATAATTTGCTCAGAGTTTGATATGTGGAAAAGCCAACATTGGAATCCAGGCTTTCATGATTTCAAAATCTTTCCACTAACGTTAACTGTTAGAAGAGTGCAGTTACTGTAGAAGAAAAAATGCTGATGAAAATCAGTCTAGTGTTACTGGGGAAGAAAAGTATACAGAAGTTGGTCTCTCACTTTATTGAATCAGAAATATGTTAAGATTAAGGTAATTGAAAATAAATATAGCTTAGAGTTATGGATCTCATGAAGCAGAATTTGGCTACTTTTTCATAAAGTAATGCTTTTTAATAATGTGTTCTGTGATGTGAACATCATGTTATAAAAAATACAGATGTTACTAGGGCAAAATATATTCTGAATAGCCTTTTGTCGCTCTTCCATATGTGAGGAAAATAAAACAAGAAAGATGTAAGTAATTTACACCTTACTAAAAGTAGAGAAGCCATGAATTAGAGGATATATTTGAATACAGTAAAGTGGTATTATTGGGTGGATCCTAAGTTTCAAATCTAGTGAAACTGCCTGAAATAAACCTAAAAATTAGTCATTAAAATGAAGAAGAATTTAAGATAAATAAAATGGAGGTGAAGGTAATCCAGACCTATTGAAAAAAACTTCAATTTCAATACATTATTCGTAAGAATTTAAGAAAAGGAACAATGAGAAGTTGCAAAAGATGGGAGAGCCAAACATAATGGACACAGGAAAAATGTGATAAACTAACCACATAGAAGGGTGGTTTTAAAAACTTAATAAAGTGAATATATTCCCTTCTTAACTTGAAAGCAAAATAAAATGGAAATGAGAACAGTTATAATAAAAAGCATTAAGCATATTAGGTGAGATGCTTCCTTTAAGGATGGCAGGGCAGGTAAATGCCATGCTCGCCTCCTCCAAGACCACATCAAAATCACTAAACTACAGAACAGCCATCATTGAGAATCACCGGAAGGCTAGTTGAACCAAAGTCCTACGACTAAGGACACATAGAAGAAGCCACATGGAGACTGGTAGGAGGGGTAGAAATGCAGAACAGGCTGGTCCAACATCCATGTGTGGTGGTTAAGATGTGGGAGGGATCTCTCAGCTGCAGACCTCTGAGAGAGATCTCTCACAGGGATCTCTCTGAGGAGGGTGGGCACCCAGCCCCACACCAGGCACCCTAGTCCAAAGCTCCAGTTCCGGGGAGAAAAGTCTCCAGAATACCTGGCTGTGAAAACCAGTGGAGATTGTGGCCGAGTGAGACGGAGGGCAGCTGGATTCCCAGGCGTTCCTCTCAAAGACACCACACGTGGACTTACCGCTAACAGACTCTTTCGCTCTGAGCTCCAGTGCTCCAGGGACATACAGGGGAGGAACTGAATTGTCTGGCTTCAGAGTGAAGGCTGGAGGGGTAGCACCCTACAGAGGGAAGTGCTGGCAGAAGCCATTGTTCCTTGGTTGTGCCCTCTCCCCAACTAGCCTGGAGGTGAAGGAGGGTGCCATACCTGAATCTCCATCAACCTTGCTAACGCCGATCACCCTACCTTGGTGATTCTCTGAGACCCCTTTCCCCCAACTTGCAGGCCCACCCAGGCCACTTCCAGTGGCGTTTCTGTATGAATGTCCTGTCTTGGCTTATGCTTTGGATTTTCTTAAAATCTCTCAAAGGTTCACAAACTCCAAACGAGCAGCATCTGTCCTTGGTGTGCTTTGTGCCTCTTGCTGAGCAGCTCCAAGCCCACACTAGCAGCAGCCGGCCTCCGTTCACAGCTTAGCCTCTTCCAGGCACCACCAAGCCCAGCACAAGCAGCAACCATCTGCAGATCCCTTTATAGCTCATACCAAGTGGACCTGGGCAGGGCACAGGCAGCGGATGACCTTGGCCTGCACAAGAACCCCTCTCCCCCCCCACCCCCCCCAACCCACACACACAAAGACCCAAGAACCAGCACAGCTGGTGGCCACCTTAGGACCACAGCAGAGCACCACCCAGCCACCTCCAATGAGACACCCAAAGTGCAGGGTGGGCAGGCACCAGAGCCCTGCACAACAGCTCCATTGTAGACATGGCCAGTCCTCACAACCAATCAGCCAAGGGTCAGTCTCTCCCATTGATGTGCCTACAGCAACCAAGGCTCAACTACAACAAAAGGGCACAGAAGACCCACATAAGGAACACACTTGGATCCCCGGCTTAGGTGACCAGGGAGACTGCACCACTGAACCCCACAGTATCTACTATGTAAGGATGCTCTACTAAGACCAGGAGACTTAGCAGCTCTACCTAATACATAGAAACAAAAATGGAGAGGCAGCCAAAGTGAGGAGACAAACGTGTCCCAAATAAAAGAACAGGACAGAGTTCCAGAAAAAAACTAAACAAAACGGAGACAAGCAATCTATCAGATGTAGAGTTCAAAACACTGCTTATAAGGATGCTCAATGATCTCAGGGAGAAGAGATAAGAAAGATAACTATGGAGACAGAAAACATAAAAAAGAACCAGTCAGGAATAAAGAATACAATAACTGAAGTGAAGACTACATTAGAGGGACTCAACAGTAGATTAAATGAAGCAGAGGATTGAATCAGTGATTTGGAAGACAAGATAGCAGAAAACACCCAATCAGAACAACAGAAAGAGAAAAAATAACCCTCAAAATGAGGATAGCTCAAGGGGCCTCTGGGACAACATCAAGCCTACCAACATTCACGTCATAGTACCACAGGGAGAAGAGAAAGAACAAGGAATTGAAAACCTGTTTGAAAAAATAATGACAGAAAACTTCCCTAATCTGGCAAAGGATTATAGACATACAAGCCCAGGAAGCACAGAGAGTCCCAAACAAGATGAACCCAAAAAGGCCCACACCAATATACATCATAATTAAAATGGCAAAATGTAAGGACAAAGAATCCTAAAAGAAGCAAGAGAAAGGCAGTTAGTTACCTACAAGGAAGTGCCCATAAGACTGTCAGCTGATTTCTCAACAGAAACTTTTCAGGTCAGAAAGGATTGGCCTGAATAATTCAAAGTGGTGAAAAGCAAGGACGTACAACCAGAAGTACTCTACCCAGCAAAGCTATCATTTAGAACTGAAGCTCAGATAAAGAGCTTCCCAGACAAGAAAAGCTGTAGGAATTCACCATCACCAAACCAGCATTACAAGAAATGTTAAAAGGGCCTCTTGAAGAAAGAGAAAGAGAAAAGATAAAAAAAATGTGAGTAATAGGGCCAGCCAAGTGGCGCATTGGTTAAGAGTTGGCTTGGCATGCCAGAAGGCCCCGGTTCGGATCCCACATATGAGGGCCAGTGACACTGCCCTCTACAGCTAAGATGCTGAACAACAGCTCAACCCGGCGATGGCATAGGCTGCAGCCCCTGCTGCAGTGGGTTGCCATGGGCTACCGTGTGTAGCCAGCAGCCAGCGTGAGTGACCAGCAGCCGCAGTGAGCGGCCGTCCAGAAGCCGGGAGACTGATCTGCCTCACATGGGAAGAGCGCAATGATGGTGCCAACTTGGGCCAGTGAAGCAACGTCCTCCACAACTAGACTGAAGAACAAAAAAGACAGCAACTTCTCTGTTCCCCTTCCCCCAATTCCCCAGTGCTGTTCCCATTCCCCAATTCCCCAATTTAAAAAAATATATATGAATAATAAAATGGCAATAACTGCACACCTGTCAACCATTACTTTCAATGTAAATGGACCAAATGCTCTAACCTAGAGACAGGCTGGCTGAATGGATAAGAAAACAAGGACCTTACATATGCTGCCTATAAGAGACTCACTTTAGATTGAAAGATACACACAGACTGAAAGTAAAGGGATGGAAAAAGATATTTCATGAAAATGGAAATGGAAAGAAAAGTTAGAGTAGCAATACATATACCAGACAAAATATACTTTAAAACAATGGCTTTTACAAGAGACAAACAAGGACTCAGTAATCCTACCTCGGGGTATTTATCCAAAGAAACCCAAAATGACTTTGAAGGGACTTGTGCATCCATATGTTCATCCATCTTTGGTTTAATTGTCTCTGGTAATGATTTTGTTGGTTTCTCTTAGTGTGATAAGTAATTACTTTAAACCAGGAACTAGCATCATTCCTATTGGGAAAATATATAGGAAGCATTTCTCAAGCAGAAATTAAACAATCTTGGCATCATTTTTATTTATGTATGTTTGAAGGAGCATGTAAAAAAATCTTAATGAGCATTTACTAAATGAGAAAGAGAAGGAAAGAAAGCAGCGTAAATATTTTCTATTAACGTGGCTTTGTTGTTTTTTTTGTTTGTTTGTTTTTGTTTGTTTGTTTTTAAGCTGAGCCATCCTGCCATCTGTTGGCAGCTCAGTGGCAGCGCAGCTCGGCCCGGGCATCAAACCGCTGTTGCTCAGAGCTCAAACGCTTGAGCGAGCTCTTAACCAACTGAGCCACTCGGCGGGCCCTAACATGGCTTTGTAACTATGAAATCTATAATATAAATGTACTGACAATAAAAGACTAATTCAGGAAGATGCAGGATATACAATTTTAAAAATCAATCTCATTACTAGATTCCAACAGTGATAAACTACAATTTTAAAAGTGTTTGGATATTAATGTGTATGAGCCATTCAAAGAAACTTATACAACTACGTTGGGATAAATTAAGCAAGATGCTTATACAGAAGCAGATTGAAGGAACTACATCCTAGTATAATGAGGAAAATAGTAAATAAGGAGTCTGAAAACCAAAATTACAGTCCTTAATTCACTACTTACCAGTTGTATAATCTTGGGGAAATCACTCCTAGCTTCCGTTTCATCATCTATAAAATAGAAATAATACTTCACTGAATAATTCTGAGGATTAAATTAATGTATATGAAATCATGTCCAAAAGAATATCAATAGATGACAGTATGTAGATTTACTATACTTCCACTTAACATTCCAACTGGATGCTTTAAATAATTTGACAGTATTGTGATAAATTATTTAGGAAAAGAAGCAAGCAAAGCTGTCTTTGTAACTTAGTGGGAAAAATGGGAGTCTTGCACTTTACATCCTTAAAACATGCTATTAAGCAACCTTTCTAAATATACTATGGTACTCAGTAGAAAGTTTAGTTAAGACTGATAAACCCATGGCAAAGAAATAAGAATATAATTGTTGATGGAAAGACTAGCTGGATGTCAGTATGGAAAAAGAAATTAGATCTACTTTATATGTGATATAATTCATTCCAGATCAGTTATGTTAAGTATAAAGGTAAAATTAAACGACTACAATTCCAATAATGATACAAAGGAAACTTTATAGCAATGAAAAACATTGACAAGGTAGATGAGATTAACTGAAAGAAAAATGAAAAAATATATACTGAATAGGAAGAACACAAAAGAAGAAGAGATGAGATTTTTAAAAGCTACTTTGCTTTACACATGGATAAAATGCTTAATGTTTTTTTTAAAAGGTAGATGCAAATCCATAAAGCTTTCTATTCCTTGCTAGGCAAATGTATAAAGGATTGGTATAAATGTGAAATACAAATGAAAGCAAATTCTTACAATGATATTTAGATTTCCTAATTTTAAAAATGCTAATTGAAACACCTTTGACCTAGTCCATGCTATTAGCAAAAATTTTTCAATCGCATGTGTCCTCATAACCAGTAGCATTGCTATATAGTAGTTTTTTAAAGAATTATTTAGAAAAATATATAAAGAGCCGTAACCAATCTCTTCTGATAGACCTTATTCACTTTGAGTAGCATATGCACAGGAAAATATTGAAAAGACGGAAACTACTTGTACAAAGATATTTCTAGTAGTTCCGTTCATTCAAGTTAAAAAAATAAAAAGCCCAATAATAGGGAAATGGATAAATTTTGTATATTGCTATCATAGACTGTTATGTAGGCATCGAATAATATTTATGTATGGAAAAATGTGTAAACATGATTCAAAGCGGAACATAAATTATTGTATTTACTGATTATATTTATGTACACTGAAAAGATCAGAAGAAAATGTAATTAATTGGAGTTTAACATTAAAGCATTCTTTATTTTTTTTCTGTAAAATACTGATATGTGCAATGGAAAATAAAAGATTAATTGTATAATGGTTTATTGAATTGGTGAGAAAATTGTTGATTCCTTGGAAACTTCTAAAATTCTCCTTTAAATTAAAAGAAATCTTTTTAAAAGTTAAATTCAAAAGATAATATCCAAAAATGTTGGTAGAAAGTTTTGCAATTCGTGGTAGGAAACATTCTTGGTCAAAATGGATGTTGTATCTTTTTTCTATTACCCAGCATTAAGAAATAAGGCCTATTGTGACACTTTCTTTCTTTTTTTCTTTTTTCATTTTTTATAATGGAAACCTCAGAGCCAGAGGTGGAAATAACAGAAAGAGTATTAATGCATTGCAGGACATTGGCATGAAGACATTGCATACTAGCTATAGTATAGCCCCAAGTCCAAGAAGACACTTCATTTGGGAGTCTTGGAGGCAGGGAATTGAAGGTTGGATTTGCATCCCTACACATGGCCAAACCTGGGTCTGAGGAGCGTTTTCAGGGAGACCCATGCTGAGGACAGATCTCAGGGAACTGAGGATGCTGGCTGACCTTTGTTTTTGTCAGCCTGAGAGAGCCAAATCAAGGTGATTTAATTCAGCAAACATCAGTTGAACATCAGCTGTGCACAGTTATGAACTGGCATTGCTCCAGGGATTACAAATAGAAAAACGAGTAAGACAGGCCCTGTGTACCTGAGAACCATCCTGTTGGATGACATGCATACCTTTTACCTTTAAAGAGAATTAAGACATTTTCT